AAAATACTAAATTTAGGCCCAATGTGTAAATTATAACCTCAGGGTTAAATGTGAACCAATTCAGGATGTATTTTAGTAACAGCTCAAGATATTACTCAGGTCTATTCTGCAGGCAGATACAAAGTATATTATTTTTCTTTTAAATTAACTTTTGGCTAGTATGATTTCCGAATATGGGTGTGGTGGCACTGCGTGAGAATTCCATCAGGTGGGAAAAGCGTAAATAAAACCGGTGGGAACGTGGAGGTGAGTCACTCATGAAAACATAACTAGCAATTTGAAGAAATTCTGGTTATATTTATCCAAACATCATTATTTTTTCTGTAATGAATTGTGTGAGAAAATTATTCTGCAGGATCTCTTTGTGTAGATATTCCCTCTAATTACATTTTTTATTTCTGTCTTGGGTCAGGTAAATTCCAAGTGATTTAAAAAAAAATTCTTTTGTGGTAGAGATTTCTGTGTTTAGCATTCCTATCGGATTTTTTTTGTTGGTTATTAGATACACATCATTGCATCACTAAGGTAAGAACTTAAAACTTGTAACCCTACTTCAAGTTAAAATGGTTCACAAGTTCAACAGAAGTACTTGTAGTGTAATGAATCCTAGCTTACAAAAGGCTTTCTTTCCAAACACTTTGAGAAAAAAAAATATATACATTTTTTATCAAGCTAACATTTACACCTGAACCAGACACAGCAGCTATATAATTGGCCAAAAATATGTAATTAATTGAGTTAGATTTTCTGACAGTTCGTACTTTATTAAGTAATCATCTATTTCCCCAAATTTCACCGCAAGCCAAACAAAAAGTTTAAAAGCAGGCATTGACTGCATTTACTTTCCAGTTTTCAGATTTCCAAACTGGATTCCTACAGACTCTTTTTGCAATGGCTTTCTGAACGATAACACAGTTTTTTATGTCAATGCCCCAAATATTTTCTGAAAGAACAACTTTATCCACTTGGGATTCTTCACATAATTTAAGTCACATTATTATTATTTAGATAATGAGCATAAAAATTTATCATTTCTGGTCATGCTTTATAATTACCAGGACAACCTTCTTATATTCTGTTACATTTATTGTAAATTGTAAGTTCTTAACCCTATGTCAGATTTTCCCTGAAGAGTACCGCCAATCCTCTGTGCCAGGTACCAACAATGTGCACAAAGCGTACCGGCTGGGAGGTCCCGGCACGAGTGATCAGTGGTACTCTCCAGGAAAAATCCAACATTGGTCCGCAAGAGGTAAAATATTTTGTTGGATATATTCTGACATAGGAGATATATTCTGACATAGGACTAAATCTATTTAAAATGCGTTTCTATGGCCTCCCTTGCATTTAGCATTTTGACATTTTCAGACAGCAAAGGATATAACTACTACAAATATGGCATCTTGGGAATTGTGGGATGTCTCTTATATAATATAATTTTTAGTCTACATTGTGATTACATTGTGATTACATGTGTGTCTACCTAAAGGAAAACTTGTTATCAATTGTTATCCATTCTTTTTGCAGATGACATATCCACTGCAAAATAGGATTGCTTAAGGGTTCGCTGACTGCGGTTCTTAATGCCACGATTTAACCTTTTATGTGTAAAAGGTATATGGACCCTTAAAAGGACTTAACACAATTAAAGACATGTTTTGACCTTATATTAAACAATAGAAACAATACAGTTTGAACTAAAAAAAAAATGTCATTTTTGACCTTAACTGTTCACTATATACCATTCACTGCATTCAAGAAATACCAATTCTGAATACAAACCACTGGATTATTTTTTTTTTTTTGTTAAGATGTCAAAAATTGAGCTACACTTAATTGCTATTCTGTGTTTCATTTCTTCTTTTTATTTTAACATAATTTCTATTTCATGTTTCATATAGTTTTACTAAAAGCATGTCAATCAACTGCCGGTACTAAAATAGTTTTTTTACTTGGCAGGCATTGGTTGTCCTAAAAATTGCCATCTGCCATTCTGTAGATGAAAACAAACTGAGACAAATGCATACTTGATATTTTATTCATTTGAAATATGTAGTTATTAACATGCCATCGTTTTTACATCCAAGTAGTTCATTCAGCACTTGTACTATATAATAAATCTGTTTCCAAATGCCTGTGCAATTGATGGGCACACAAAGCTTTCTTTTATTTGTCTATTCAAAGGGAGCAAACAGGGCTTAACTCGTACTCTGTTTTAGAAAATAGTCATGGGAAGTCTCAAAAGACCAGCGTTGATCTTAAAGAATATGGCCAACCCCTTTTACACTCTAATTACTTGTTAAAAGATTCGGATTCCATAAAAAAATAATTTTGAACTGAAAATTATATTGCAATATCTTTGGTTGCCAACGTAATTTGGCAGAATATTAATATAATAATATAATTCACGAATAGACTTGCACACAATACTATTGCAGCTGCAAAGTACGAACCAAACTCCCATTAATTTATGCCCAAAACAAATTGATCAGTCCCAGATACACCTTTGGAGTCTTATAAGTCTGTACAGGTAAGTCTTGGACTGAATAGTTTGTTTGGAGATATATTAACATGAATTTGATTTATTCATCGCAAATGCAAAGGATTTGTGCACAAGTCTGTTCGCTTCACTGTGAATCATCAGAAATGCAAAGTGTTCTTTTTAAGGCACGTTAGAAAAGTAAGCTATGTTTTAGTTAGGTTGTTTTGGTTGAAAATGTGTAACATCTTTTACATTCTTCACAATTTACATTTTAGTAAACAACAGTTTCAGTGTTAAACAAACACAATACAATGTGATTTTGCTATACGTTGGGGTTTAGGGCATTAAATGTAAATTCTGGAGAACTGATAAAGAAATTACATGTTTAAACCACACAGTAAGCAGGTTGGAAAAATTTTGTGAATTTGACCAGTTGAACTATTTTGGTTTAATTTTTGCTATTCCTTAATGAACTCTCCACAATTCCTGAATAAACTCCCTAATTTAATCCCTTAGTGACCAGACCGTTTTTCAATTTTCTTACCGTTACATTTCTGCAGTGTTTGTGTTTAGCTGTAATTTTCCTCTTACATATTTACTGTACCCACACATATTAAATACCGTTTTTCTCACCATTAAATTGTCTTTCTAAAGTTACCATTATTTTCATCACATCATAGAAATTACTATAAAAAAATATATAAAATATAATGAAATTATTTTTAAAAACACACTTTTTCTAACTTTGACCCCCAAAATCTGTTACGTATCTACAACTGCCAAAACACACCCAATGTTAACATGTTCTTAGATTTTTTTTGGAAGTTATAGGGCTATAAGTACAAGTAGGACATTGCTGTTTCAAAATATATATTTTGAAAATGTATCAATAGTGACATTGCAGCACTGTTATCTGTCATAAATCGCTGAATCACACCTTGCATGTACATATTTTTTTAAAGTAGACAACGCAGAGTATTCAATATGGGGTATGTCCAATCTTTTTTAGTAGTCACAAACACTGGCCAAAGTTAGCGTTCATATTTGTTTGTGTGTGAAAAATGCAAAATACGAATTTAAACTGTAATTTTAGCCAGTGTTTGTGACTAAGTGGCTACTAAAAAATACTGGACATACCTTATTTGCAATACCTTGAGTTGTCTACTTTTGCAATTTATATGCCATCATGGGGGTAATTCTCATTTCTGGGCTACCATGCGGTCTTAAAGGCAACATTACCAATCTGGCAAATTTCAATGTAAAAAAAACAAAATGCAAAGCTTATATTTGACTCTGTAACTTTTGAAAACACCATAAAACCTGTACATGGGGGGTTTGGTGATACTCGTGAGACTCCACGGAACACAAATTTTAGTGTTTCAAAACAAAGAACGGCATTTTCCCTGATGATATCATTGTTGGGATATGTTTTACTATTTTGAAACACTAATATTTGTATCTAGCATAGTCTCCTGAGTAAAACAGTACCCCCCATGTACAGGTTTTATGGTGTCCTGGAAAGCTACAGATTTAAATATAGGGCTTGCGAACCAAATTCTCTGGACTTTTCTGGTTGTCAGGCAGATCTCTCAAATTGTTATTAATAAAATGACTTAATTATGTAAAAATATTACATAAATATATTTGTAGAATTTAGATATATATGTATGTATATATATATATATATATATATAGATATATTTTATTATTTTTATTTATATATAGCTTATATACATATATGTATTTATGACGTCATTCTAAATGTATTTTGATTTCAATATATATGTTTATTAATATCAAAATACAGTTAAAACAAATTTAAACCGGTATATATTTTTTTGCATTTTTTATTATTTTAATATATATATATGTAAAATGATATATAATTATATATAGAGTAAAAGGAAAAAGCTAGAGTGAAATGGTTGTTCCATTAGAGATGGAAAAATTGGACATCCATTACACCAAAAGATATCTCATAAAAATAGTAGAATAGAGCTGAGCAGACGCATGTAGGAGCAGCTCCCGACGAGAAAACCGCATAGAGCTACAAATAAACGGTATACCGAGCGATCACCAACCGGATTACACTGAGCAACCTCCCGCGATGTCGCAGCGGCAAAAAACGAAAGCAGGGAAGTCGGACCGAGCCTCATTCTTCCTCACAAAGACCGCGGCCTCCAAGCAGAGTGAGGAGCAAGATGGCGGCGGCCAAAACAGGCGGGAACACCCCCCCTCACCCCAGACACCACCTGCACAAGCAGAAAATGAACAGCCCCTGACAATGAGAGCCATCAGAGAAATGATGGCTGAATTCTCAGACAACATACAGCTGAATATTAAAAAACAGCTCCAAACACTGACAGCTGAATTACATAAGGACATCCAGGACATTGGCAACCGCACCTCCCAGATAGAAACAAAGATGGATGAGTATGCAGTAGCACACAACAGCCTGGCAGACAAACTGCAGGAACTGGATGACTCTCTAGAAGCCCACAGATTGAAACTAGCAGACATGGAGGATAGGGCTCGGAGGAACAACCTCAGATTCCGGGGGATCCCGGAATCTGTACCAAATGCAGAACTGCATAACTATTTATTAGACATGTTCCAGTGCCTCACACCAGAAACCCACCCAGATCAACTCATCATAGACAGAGCACACAGGCTGCGCAGACCAAAGCACCTGCCCACGACAGCCGCACGTGACGTGATTGCGAGGATTCATTTCTTCCACGCCAAAGAGAGGATAATGAAGGCCAGCAGAAAGGCGGATATGCCAGAAGCCTACTCGTCAATCAAGATCTTTGCGGATCTCTCAGCAGACACGCTACACTTCAGGAAAACCATGGGACCGGTCACCTCCGCCCTGCGGGACCACAACGTAAACTACCGCTGGGGCTACCCGGCCAAACTTTTAATTTCTTACCAAGACGCAATACACCCCGTCAACACAGTGGCGCAAGGTATCCAGCAGCTGAAAGAATGGGGACTCCCGATCCAGAACCTACACCCCACCAAAGCAGCTAAAGTCCCGAGGATGTCCCCGGAGTGGACAACACAATGAGAACTGGACATTCCTACCGGCATACGTAACTATGTGATGTATATAACAGTTAATAGATAGATGCATAACCCCGTTAGAGTTGTTCCTGGGAAAACAAATTGGGTGACACCCCTCTATATTCTGTGTACTGATAGTTGATATTTACCGGAGTACATGTGCAAGGCATAACAGAAAGCATTATTGCTGGCTAGATTCTGTCTCTGCCCGATTAGAGATACTAAGACACCCCCTACCGGGGGCTGAAAAGTACTGAGATCTATATCCTATACAATATGCTAGTATTGAGAACACGTAACCAAACGGTAAAGAATAGAACGTTAGAAACGGGTTGCACACATTGTTCGCTACCATAGTTGCATGTTAATACTGCTCACGGTTTTTCTTGGCTTTTTCTATGGTGCACGACCTAGAGAACTGCCAACTTCACCTCCACCCCCCCGACTGCCGCGCCTCCATGCTAGGCAGCAGGGCAAGGCCCCACTCCTTGGAGCCGAAATGGGTATCTTACCCAATTGTTCTCTTCACCCCAGTTTTACCCCCTACTTACTTCCCTCACTCCCCGACTGGTCACATTCTCAGATTGCACAGCGACGCACGCCATGCACAACCCCCACTCAGGGCAATTGCAGTACCGATTATAAGCGCAGATGGACAGAACCCGACCCACCTAAGCACGCTATTTTCACCTGACACTCCTGCATGAAACTACTAACTTATAACGTCAAGGGGCTGAACACCCCAGGTAAACGAAGACTACTACTTCAAGAGCTAAAAGAACAAGGGATAGACATAGCCTGTATCCAGGAGACACATTTTAAAAAGGCCAAGACCCCAGAAATCTTCACTAAACTATACCCAAATCAATACCATGCCCTCTCAGACAGTAAAACGAAAGGGGCCTCCATCCTTATACATAAAGACGTAGCATTCCAGGAGCAGACAAAATTAGTAGATGCCCAAGGGAGATATGTCCTACTAGTAGGGCTTTTTAATAATACCCAATATACCTTGGTATCTGCCTACTTCCCAAATACTGGGACAGAAAAATACCTTAGACGTCTTCTGCAAGACATAGACAAATATAGACAAGGTGGACTGGTGCTCTGTGGGGACTTCAACTTCTTTACCTCCCCAGAAGTCGACACGACTGCCATACCCCAGGGGACACGACGGGCGACCGTAAACTCCACGTGCAAGGCAGTGTCCAAACTGCTCTCACTACACAACCTATATGATAGTTGGAGAATGCTGCACCCAGGGGAAAGAGACTACTCCTTTCACTCGGCGGCACACAACACGTATACCCGTATAGACACATTCTACGTAGACCAACCCACATTAGCACAAATCTCTACATGCTCTATAGGAGATATCACTTGGTCAGACCATAGCCCAGTGTACTTGGGGTTACATGACTCCTTTCAGTTTAAAGGACGGGGGACTTGGAGAATGAACGATTCCTTACTCCGAGACCACGACTTTATGAACCAAATAAAAGCTGAACTCATTGCCTACTTTCACACAAACTCTACTGAGGAAATGTCAGTACAGACTGTGTGGATGGCTCACAAAGCTGTAGTACGAGGCCTATTTATCAGACGCTCGTCCTACCTCAAAAAACAAAGACAAACCACAATACTTGAGCACCAAACGAAACTAGCGGCCCTTACCATCCAGAACAAACGATCCCCCTCCCCACTTCTAGCAAACCAAATCCAATCTCTGAACAACCAGCTACATCAGTTACAGGCAGCCAAAACTGCGTCCCTGCTTCATAGAATGAAGGCCACCACATATCACCATAGCGGGAAAGCGACAAAACATTTGGCCAATCGGCTGAGAGAGAAATTGGCGGCCTCCAAAATAGCTTACTTACAAGGACCAAATGGGTCCAAAATACAAAACCCCTTAGATATCACCCAGGAGTTTGCAAAATATTACTCTGACTTATATAATTTGGGAGATCACCCAGACGCAACCCCTATAGATGAAAACGCTATCCAAAGGTACTTGGACCAGCTTCCTCTGCCCAAGATAGACAGACACCAAAGAAATGCACTACTTGAACCCATCACTCTTACTGAGGTTCTACACACCATACAACACCTCCCTATAGGGAAATCCCCGGGTGCAGACGGGCTTCCTAATATATATTACAAAACGTTCGCGGAAATACTGGGTCCCAGACTCGTACAAGTGTTCCAAAAAGCCACAGACACAGGAGTACTCCCACCTGAGATGCTCTTAGCAACAATAGTGACCATACCTAAACCGGGAAAACCTGCTGACCAATGTAAGAATTTCAGACCCATTTCGCTGTTAAATACGGATGCTAAGATCTACGCCAAGATCTTAGCGACCAGACTCGGTAAAATATTACCGACACTCATACACGACGATCAAACGGGATTTGTGTTGGGGAGACAGGGCCTGGACAATACCCGGAAACTGGCTCTCGTGCTAGAGAGGATGAGGAGGTCCGGCCCAGGCGGACTGCTCTTAGCACTAGATGCCGAAAAAGCGTTTGACCGCCTGGGCTGGACCTTCCTCCACAAGGTGTTGCAGAGGTATGATTTTCCACACCAACTCATCACACAGATATTTGCACTCTATTCACACCCCACTGCAAGGGTACTACAAGCGGGGTTTCTGTCCAACCCCTTTAAAATTACCAACGGCACACGACAGGGGTGCCCCTTGTCCCCCCCTACTCTACGTTTTAGCCCTAGAACCACTGCTCACAGGAATCAGAACCAGAACAGAAATAACAGGGGTGGACTGGCATGGCCGTCAAATAAAGATAGGGGCGTTTGCAGATGATATCCTGCTGTACATCTCCCACCCAGAGAGCTCTCTCCCACACATAATGCGACTCATACAGGAATATGGGACACTGTCCTATTACTCTCTCAATACCTCCAAAACACAAGCATTGGGTCTACGCCTGGACCCACAAGTATTGGCGAACCTACACAAAGACTACCAATTTGAATGGAGGAAAAAAGACATAAAATATCTAGGCCTGACATTTACTAAAAATGCCACAGATATGTTCCCAACGAATTATACCAGGGTTTGGGAGGACTGTCTTAAAACAATGAAGGGCTGGGACCGGTTATTTTTAACCTGGTCGGAGCGCATAGTAGCACTAAAAATGACCATACTACCGAAACTTCAATACTTATTTAGGAACCTACCATTACGAGTATCGCCATCATACTTCAATACTATCCAGGCCAAACTGTTACAATTCACTTGGGGAACGAGACGGGCACGAATCTCACAAAAAGTGCTCCTAGCCCCCACAGCACAAGGGGGAATGGCATTCCCCAATGTCAAATTGTACTACCAAGCTGCAGTACTGTCCTCCCTCTTGCCACATTTGACCAAAGACACCCAACCCCAATGGGTGGCAATGGAGCAGGCAGCCATCTTACCCTTCCAAATCCCCAATCTGCTGTGGTTACCAAAAAAAGACAGACCGGCCACCCCACTCCCACCCGCCCAACTTGCATTGACACTACAGGTCTGGGAAACACACAGAGGGCATTTCGAAACAGGATACCCCCTATCAATGGCAACTCCAATTGAAGCTATCACATACTGCATCCCTACGTTCCATGCGACACCATGGAAGGCCATGGGGATCACCCACCTATCACACATGTGTGAAGCAGGCAAACTCACGAACTTCGCTAAGCTCCGATCCACCTACAACATCCCACAAACATCACAATATTCGCACCTTCAACTGCACTCCCTTCTCACCACACGAAGTAAGACAAAACCCCCGGGCCAACCCAAGCCGGTGGAACTCTCTGACTGGGAGAAAATAGGCATATCAGGGAAAATGCCACCCACATTCAAACCACTATCGGACTGTTACAAAACCCTTCAGACGTACATACCCTTCCACAACTCATCACAGGCACTACAATGGGACCTGGACCTAGGGACCAAAATTCCCGAAGCTAAATGGAAACATATTATATCCTCCACGAAGAGGTTGATTAAATCTGCCCCACTCCTGGAACAACACAGGAAAACGATATATAGGTGGTACATGGTCCCGTCCCGCATACATAAACAATACCCCCACTCGTCACCGGTATGCTGGAGATGCATAGGTGGTCACGGAACAGTCATGCACATCTGGTGGAGATGCCCCCGCCTTGTTAGATTTTGGAAAGAGGTACACAAGCTCCTTACCGAAGCCACCAACACTGACATACCCCTCGAACCTTCTTGTTGCTAGACATACCGAGTACCGTACCCACCGGGGCGAAGAAGTTAATATGCCATATACTATTGACTGCCCAAAAACTAATAGCCAGGCTCTGGAAATCTGACAAACACCCCAACATCCTACCCCTTATACAAGAAATAGACAAGCAACTACTCTATGAAACACATTTCGTCACGACACACCCGTGCCCACAACGCTTCCTGAATACATGGGAACTATGGCGCTCTTGGAGGGCAGACAACCCAGACTAATGAGCCCCCATAGAGGATGACTGGCCACACGGCCACCCCCACTTACCAATCCCCACACCATAGAAGAGGGCGCACAAGCCACAACCCCACTATAAACCACCACAATAGGAGACTACCCAGGATAGGGGAGATAGGACACTAAAGGGTGCCGGTGACGATAGAACAAACAGGGTCTTGAGGACTGTAGGGTCTGACGACCTGGAAGTGAAGCAGAAGGCACCGCAGTGATTGACATATAAGGTATTAGCTTGAATTGACCAGTGTGAATGTGATGTGTTCGGTGATGCATACTGGATAATACTGTAAAATACGATTGTGTACATGTAAACTATGCAATGTGACTACCCCCCCCCCCTCCTTTCTTCTCTTCTGTATCCCCTCCCCTAATACATGTTGAAAAACAATAAAGTACAAATTTCAAAAAAAAAATAGTAGAATAATTATTGGGTATAACCTTTATTAAGCCGCGTATAGATAAAAAACAAAAAACTATAAAGTGTGGT